AGAAATTATACAATTAAAAATATGAAACCGTAATTTATGAAATAAAGAGCAATTATGTCTAAAGGGTATCAAAATTTACAAAAACAAAACAAAAAAAAGGCTTAATATTTATTTGTTTACTTTATTAACATTTTCAATGTAAGTTGTTTAAGTTGCTTCATTTTTTTGTGCTAAACGCACATGCATAAAGCATACAAAAAAAAAAAAAGTTTGTGGCTTTGATGTCCGGATTATAGATCATTCCGGATAGTGGACGTTCGGATTACACACTTTGGACTGTAGTTTTGGAATGGCTGAACAGTTTTCTTGTTTCAATCTGAGCAAAACAAATGCTGTTAATTGGGAAAATGGCCGAAACTTCTGCTGAAATGAATAACAGTAGTTTTCTTGATGTACCCAATATGCAAATAAATAGTGATCATCTGTTTGATGAAGTTGTGCTTGCTAAGGAGTATTTGCAGTCAAATTGGGAATAGTGAAAGCAAGAAGAGTCTACCAGAGATGTGATTACTTCAAGTGAAGAAAAATGGCTCAGGCTGTTTGATTTCTTCAAGGAGAGAATCATAACAGTCCCCAATCTGATCAAGTATGTCTTCTGCTTACCTGGGACATCAGCACCAGTTGAGAGAGTATTTTCTTTGATTAAACCCCTATCATGGACTGATTATAGGAGTTTGATGAAGGAATCTATGGTTAAAGACTTGATGACATGTAAAATTAATATCAGATTAGCTTGTGAATATTTTTACAACAAGATTAAAACCAAAAAAAGACTTTCTAAAAAAGGTCCTCGGGAATAAAAAGTGCTTATAAATATTGTTCAAATTTTTATTCCTCATTTAAAGTGTTTTTTCTTACTTAAGTAACTTATAAATATTAGCATGTAAGAAATAAAATATGCTTGTGTCATTTACCCATGGGTTTAGGTTCCTATTAAGTAACCATTTATTCATAACATTGAGAATAAACGACTTTCTAAAGCACTCCAAAAACCCCCCAAGGGTGTGTACCCTTGAATACCCGCGATGCTGGGGGGCAATCCGGTCTCCCGGTTGAACATTTCTGAATTCTGGCAAGCCTACCTAAAGAACTGTTTTGCACATGGTTGCCATGGTTTGGCGACTTCTGAAATATTTGGCGATTCCTACTAAGGTGAATGTGATAATACATGTACACTGTGCAGAAAAAAAGGGGGTGGGCAGTTTTATATCTCTCGTTCTACTAGGCTGATTGACAAAATTCAACTCGTGTTTTTCATGTCTCGAAACTGTGACTTTGGGTATGTATTAGATATATAGCATTGTTTGAATATAGTTATTTTGGCACAAAATCAAACTTTTTCTGAAATGACATACCAATTTTCTTCTATATTTCAATTCTGCATTTCTAAATACACCTGTAAAAAATTAGAGTTTTTTATTCAAAATCTTCCAAGATATACATGAATTTACATATTGGCACATGCTCAAACACATTATGCATTTGCGCACGTGCATAAAGTTTGTAGCTTTGAAGTCTGGATTATAGATCATTCCGGATTATGGACGTCCGGATTACAGACTTTGTACTGTACATGAATTTACATACTGACACATTTTGAAATTTGGCATTTTTTTTTTTTTTTTGAGTGATCCAAGTATGGTTTATGCACTTTGTTAAAATTATTCCAAAGTATAAACAATGACTTTTTTCCTATCTTTCTATAATGAAAAAAAGGAAAGGACAATAGGTTGCTATAAATTAAGAAGTTTGCCAAGTAAATTATTCTTGGCACAAACTGAAAAAAAATGTGGCAAGGTATATTTTTGAATTTCTCCATAAATTTCGCACCAAATTTTACAAAATTAAGTATTTAGGCATAATTTGAGTCGTTGAATTGAAATGGAAAAAAAAAATGGCATGCCATTTCAGAAAAAGACCGATTTTGTGTTAAAATACCTATGTTAGAATAATGCTATATATAAATCTAATATATAGCTTAAGTTGCACTTTTGAAACATGAAAAACGCAATTTGAATTTTGTCAATCGGCTCAGTATTACGGGAGATATAGAACTTTCCTTTTTTTTTTTTTTTTTTTTGTGCATTGTACCATTTTATTTTCCTAATAGAATAAGCCTTAATGTGTATAAACAGATTCACAGGTCATTTAGGGTGCAAGATGCGCCTCACAATTTTGTACAGATTACATCTTCTGTACAAACGATAAAATGGAAAGCAAACTATGCTTGGCTAGCAGCAAGGTGAAGGAGGGAGAAAAGAAAAGGCTGCACTTTTTCAAACATTAAACTAGTTGTTTAGGCTAGCATACAAGTATAATAAGTAGCTTTTACTAGCTCCTCAGAGAATCTCAGATGGCCATGGTGAAAGTAAAAATTCCTTAGATAAATTTCGTGGAGAAAATGAGGAGGAAGCGAAGCCACATTTTCCTTTGTGAAGCAGAAAAACATCAGCACAGTCTGGAAGCAGGTGTCATAAGTGGCTGCATTTGCTGATCAAGGGAGTGATGAAAAACTGCAATGCAGGAGAGAGAAGACAGGTGAAGTGTAGAGATCATTAGCTGAAGATGAGAAATTGGGAGATCATGTTGCAAGTGTTGGCCAATCATATGTCCATGGAAAGATTGTGCAATAGTGGCAGAAGTATTGAAAGATTTGGTTCCTTTGTTTAAATTTTGAGCTCTTCAGTTGGATTAGAGCCATCTACACAATGCAGGAGAATTACATAAGCAAAACTGAGTAAATTAATTTGGAAAAATGCAGTCTAGAAACATTATTATAAACAATTTAGAACAGAAAGGGTAGAAAGCCAAATTAAAATGAGGAATTAAAAGGACCGTTGCCAGACTAAAGTTAATCATTTTGAGTTACATATTTTGTTTCTTATGCACACACACATGTATATATGCATTCATGTCCAAATTTATTTATATACTTAAACCATATTCCATGAAATATCCAATCAGTGTAATCTATTTTTGCAGGGAATATGAAAAAGACAAGTCTATTAACTTTATCTAATCAAAAATAAGCAAACTATTTCGGATATGCAAATCAAGGCATTGCATCATCTGGCATTTACTCAAGTCCTTTGTGCAAAGTGAAGATTTGAGTGAATCTAGTATTTAACTTCAGTGTGTAAGAACTTGGAATAGTTTCTTATGGCTTTGAAGGAGAATTTGGACAAATCTGTGAAGTGGTGAATTATTGGCCATTTAGGAGCAGGGCAGTCAAGCATGGAAGCAGTGAAATGTAAGAGTTATTTCAAAACGGCTGGTCAGTATGCTAGAGAAAAAAATTAGAGCTCTGAAGTGGTTGTAAGGAGGCCTGGCTAAGATTGTAAACAAATAACAATTGCTTCTCAAGATCGATATCTGGCAGTAATTGTCCATCATAACATAAAGTCTACTACTCAGCAATTAAGTTCAGATCCACTGGAAATGTTGTTCATTGCTAACTGTATGCCGACGTCTTAATGAAATAGGCCTTTAAGTCAGAAAGCTCGAGGTTATGTGGTCCACTGTCTTTACAATAAAAGAGGGATTGCTTTAGATGGGACAAGGGGCATGAGAACTGGAGTGAACACCAATCACCCTATGTTCTCTTTACTGATGAGTCAAGGTTTAGTTTAGTATCTGATTCTAAATGTGATTAGATCGAGGGAGTCGGGAATGAGATATTTTTCTTCAAACATTATGAAATATGCTTCAGTGATGACACAGGAAAGAATAATGATCGATGGATGTTTGCCCCTACACATCATCGACAGCAGATCTCTGACCACCAAGAGATAACAGTATGAGGTCTTAGAATCTTATGTAAGACTCTACATAGATGCAGACAGATCTGACTTTTTATTTATAAATGATAATGCAGGTTTTCACATCGAGCAAATCTTGTTAATGGTTTCCTTGATAAAATTCCTTGAATGTGAAGACATTGAATGAGTACTGTGGCCATCAAAATCTCCTGGTCTTAACCCAATAGAGAATTTATGGCTCTAACCTTAGGAAAGCAATTGTATGGAAGCACCCTTCTCGTGATGATGCAAATGCCCTGTGTTGCTGGAGGAGTGGAATTTAATTCCCCAATTTGTGGTGAACTACATTATTGTCAGTGTGAAAACTTTTTGTGAAATGTGTGTACAAGTCACAGGAGATCACATTCTATATTAACCTTTTGAAGTCAGGGATTTGACTCCTGCAAGATCCTTAAACAGAAGGGGGTTTTCGTACCTTATGCTTTTTCCTTTTAAGAAGTCCCTTGCTGTTGTCAACAATGGCATTTTTAGATAGTTTGATTCATCCTGAAAGAAAGGCTTTCCTTTACAAAAGGAAGGGAAAAGTAGGGATTAATGTCTAAACTGTTTAGATGGTTTTCCTTATGAAGGGAAAATTAAAAGATGCAATTTATTGCAAATCAGACTATTCAGTGATACATAGAAGGGAATGCAGTGAATCAGCATCTATTTTTTAATCTTGTTTTTTGTTGGGATTATTATTTCTTCTCCTCTATCATCAAATTGAAAATAGTTATATTTTTAATGTTAAAGTGTCAAAGAAGAAATAAGTAGTATATAAAAATAATTTAAAAGAATATGGGGGACATATTTTAAGAAAATAATAATGAAATGCATGAGGAATAATAAAATGCACTCAATAATACCATATATTAAAATAATTATATTTAAAGTCTGATGTCTTTTCAGGCTCTCGTTCATTATACAGCAGATGTTCAATAGCAAGTGATATTGCCAGCATACACTCTTACAGGTGTCTTTATTTGCTATTAATTGTTGAATGGTTAATTGTGTAGACAAATATGCACTTGTGATAATTTCTTTCATAATTCTATCACTTTTTAAGATTGTAAACTTAATATCTTCACCCTGTTATAGGTCTTGTTAATTTACTGAATATGCCAATTTTAATGGTTTGAATATTTATAATTTGGTACTTTTCCATTTTTATATTTATTTATCATATAATTCTAAATTTTCCAGGTTGTTTTTTTACCACATGGGTTCCCAGATAGTGTTAGCAAAGATTACATTCCTTATCAGATTTGGGACAGCATACAGGTAAGCTGTTCTGTATCTTCAATAATTACAAATACCCCTCTTTTCAAAGTTTACTTTACAGCTCAGTGTTTATTTGTTTGCTAAACATTTCTTTCAATGTAAGTTGTTTAGATGCTTCGCTTTTGTTCTAATACTTTTTCTTTAGCATTATAGATAGACATAATTCTCTATTTTAATATAGTATGTATTACACTGTTCTGTATTCACCATGTCAAGAATTCCCAATAAATTGTCAATCAAAACTTTTTCATCCTCAGCCACTTCTCTGTCACTTTCTTTATCATTGGTATTGAAATTTTATAGATTTGGAACCATTCTACAGATTTCACTGTCCTTTAGTTGATTGATTATTTGAACGTTGTCATCACAATATCTCAATAACCAATCAACTAATGGAATACTTCTGTTATATCATCTTTATTTATTACCCCTTCTCTTAAAGTGACTACATATTCATTGACACAAAGCAGGACAAATGGAATGAATTGAGAATTATAATTTAGTTATGAAAGCAGGCCAATAATTCAAAAAAATATATTTTATTATATACATTCATAGACTTGTCTATAAATATACAAAAATATATTTATTATTAACAATTGGTAACTATTTGTATTATATTTGTAAAAAAACAATAATTACTCGATAATCGAGTAATGGGATTTGGCGATTGGGTCTCCTAATCTCCAGTCACCCTTTAAAAGAGGGAGTATATAAGGTATTTCTCCCGCTTTCTTGGCATTCCTACGTGGTATAGTGGGCAGCACACTCGGCGCATATTTGAGAGGTCCCTGGTTCGAGTCCTGCCGAGGGCATCTCTCATTTGTCATCTCTCCTGCTTTCAAAAAATACCTAATGTCTCTACATCATATTCTTCCAATAATTTGGCATCAGGTAAAAAATTAGCTATGTATGTAATCATTGTTACTTTTTACTAAAGTTATCTGGATTTAATCTCCCTAAAACTAACTGAAATTGATTTCATCTTTTACAGATTTTTCCCATATTTGATCAAAACAGTCATTTGCTTCCCAATTTTTCTGTTCAATACAGCTTGCGATATGATGAGAGAACTTCTCTCGCGCTTTTTTTTTTTTTTTTTTTTTTCATATGGGTAACGTTTGCCAGTGCTGCATTCTTGTTGACCACATCTGTCTTTATTTGAAATTAACCAACCATGGTTCACAATAGTCTTTTGTTAAGTTCAAGTGTATAACAAAGCAAAATCTGTCTCTGAAACAGAGTTATTAATCACTGTATGATGAACAGAAGAAAATGATCTGCTGTCATTATTTCAGGGAAAATCGGTATCTTTTGGTCTACAAAGACCAAAATTTAAAACAAATCCTTTCTTATCCCTTGTAAGAATTTCTGGATAATGACCAAAATCGGATGTAAAAAATGAATCAAATGAATTTAGTCAAAAAATTAATATCTTTCATTTTTTACATTTCCAAGAGAGATTCCCATCTCAGGTATTCGAAACCGGGCCCTTCAGCACAGCAGTCAGGGACGCTAATCACTATACCAATTGGGTGGAGAAAGCTCTTCTCTGGAAGAGAATCAAAATAAAAACATATAGCTTTTCTGCTTTGTATTCAGTTGAAGTTTAGGTGTATGTAACACTGAATTCAGCTTTTTTTGTATGCTTCCAAGAGCCCCTAACTACTGTGTCATATGACGCAGAGGGCCCCTGGAAATTTAAAAGAAGATGGATTCTATTCTATATATGTAGTATTTATAAAAAAATCCATTCTCTTTTAAGTTTAAACATATAAAGGTAGTTCAGCAGGACATTCAAGGGCCCCTTCGGGCCCTTATGCGATGGCATTTTTCCCTTATTTATGCCATTGCATATAATAGAAATAACAGATAACAGAAAAAATATGCTAAGGCTTATTGTTGAAACAACAAATCTGTTATTTTTAATTCAAGCAGCTCTAAATGGCATATGGATGTCATTTATAAACTCTGTTTTTTAGAAATTTCTGTTAAATTTTTCCTTGTCCACTTTTCACTCTATAGCTCAAATGGCTTAAGATCATAATCATCGACAAGCATAATATCAGCATCAAAGTTTACCATGCTGTTCGGTATTCAGTTAGTCATATTAAAAAAAAAAGTTGCATGAGTCAAAAAAAAAGAAAAAGAGTTGCCTGTGTTGACATCGCTGCATGAGTGATTTCTGAAGCTGCTGCAAAATGATAATCATCTAGTTGTAAAATCAATAATAAACTATGATGGAATGCTTTGGTTTGAGATGTCTACTGAGCAAGAAGGTAGCTGTGGAACTAAATTATTGGTCATACATATTATTGGTCATATATAGATTTATACTAGTAAATAATTGTGTTTCATCAATATGGGAATGTTTTATTTAGTCCTGAAGTGGAATTAAAAATCAGGGCCAACACATGCATTATTATGACAAAATATTTACTGCACATATGTGAAGTATTGAGCATATGCTTCTTTTAGAATTTAATTTTTTCTTCCTTTCTGGAAAAAATTTCTAAAAAAAAAAAAAAAAAAAAAAAAATTGCTTGCGGTTTGGAGATTTGAATATTGGACACTTGGATTTCATACTCTATATTGTATATGTATGTAGTGAAGCAGATTTGGATGTAATCATAGAGAAATATTAATTGCCCAATTGTTGATCCATAAGAGCAGCAAACTTGGCAGCCAAGCCAAGGCAGATTAAATATTCATTTTTATTTCAATTGACATTTATGTCTACAATTCACTTGTCTCTAATCATGCCTGATACAATGCAGTTACACTTTTGATGCTATTGTAAAAAGAGAGCAGTATAGCAGCATCGTAGTGGCAACAGAAGTAGGAGCAAAGTGAGTAGTTATTATCCAGTGTGGCAGCTTATTAAGAGAAAGGTTTTGATTCTAGAAATTTTAAGTTCCAAATGAGCTACATCATCAGTCATATGTTGTAGATTAATCTAGAAATGACACAGTCTAGGAAAATTTATTGTTGAATAAATGTGTGTTTGTCTGTAAGTCCAAAAGTTCTAACGTCCTGTGAAATGAAACGTGGAATTACTACTGCAGTTCATAGCTAATTCAGTTTCAAATTTATTTTGGTCACTACCTTAATATTTAGAAATGAGAAAAGGGGCTATCTAAATAATCAGTGATTTATTATTTTAAGAGATCAAGCATAGCATCGATTTCAAGGTCTTCAAATCTCAGCATTTACATGAAAGTGCTTTCAACCGCCTGTTCAAAGCAATATTCATTCACTTTATACTTGTATTTCCATGCTTTGATTTACAGTTAAAAGACAATGTTTATTTATAATACGGCTCGATAATTATTTTCTTTCAATATAAGTATATGAAATTACAATTACTTTAGTGATAAAGAATTGAGAAATGTGCTACCTACATTAATCGTTGATGGAATAAAAGCTTAATAATTCAGTATTTCCTTTAAAAGGTTTTGCACTCATAAATGAATTTTAAAAATGTTGTTCTGTTTTAAGAATGTATCAGATTAATAATTTGATTTCATAAAGAAAGTAAAGAATTTTAAGATTTTAAAACTATTTTATTTAGAAAAGATTATTAAAAATTACTATAATAATAATAAGAAATTTGGATTATTGTTAAAAAAATGTTAAATTATTTACGTTTTAAAAAGCCTTCCTTGAGCAAATGCGATTAGGATGATTCTAAATTTAACTGTAACAAATTACTCTCAAATTTCATTTTCTCGCTATCTGGCTAAAATTTTGTAATGGCTAAAATTTTTTGTATATAACCGCGAGCCAGGATTGCTGCTCAGGGTATTCTACACCCAAGAGCTCTGAAGTGGTGACATCCTGTTGACTTTTAAATGTAATAATTTAGAGATTCACAGTTGTGGTACGTATATAGAAGTTAGTGGAGAGTTGATTAGAGAAGATGAAACCAGTCAACTTATTGATGATGGTTGAAGTGGTAACTGGTGTAACATACATGCACATAGCATAGTAGATGTCTTGAACTATTAGGCGAGCCATAAAATTCTTGGATAATCACAACATATCTTTATTACTCGATGATTATGCTGTTAAAACATCATACTGAATAGCACAGCAAAATGGGGGGGGGAGACTCTGCATCACAGAATTTTTAAATACACACTCACATTTTTTTAAATGATAAAAAGAAAAGAGATGAAGCAAGAAAAATGGTTTATTCATCAAACAAGCAAGAAAAGGGGACACATAATAACTATAGTCATATATACATAATGACTAGTCATTATGTATATATGACTATACTATAATATATTAAGCCAGAAAACCAGAAAGTCTTTGTTTATAAGCCAGAAATTATAAGCCAGAATTTTTATATATTTAATTTTATATATTTTTTATATATTTTTTTATATCCAGAATTTTATATATTTTTTTATATTATAAGCCAGAATTTTTTCTAGGTTATTAAGCCAGAATTTCTTTATAATTTATATCCAGAATTTTTATATATTTTTTTATATTATAAGCCAGAATTTTTTCTAGGTTTATAAGCCAGAATTTCTTTATAAGCCAGAAAGTCTTTGTTTAAATCCTGAGCAGCAATATATGACTCATTCCCTGCAATTTCTCTGCACCATGAAATCTTTAGTCCAATTGCTGCTCAGGATTAAAACAAAGATGTTCTAGCTCATACATATGACCGCGATTAGTAAGCATCAACGTTTTTCACCTGCTGCTGCTTGAATAAACCACATCTCTAACTCTTCTGTATTGTTTAAAGAAAATGTGAATGCATATTTAAAAATTTTGGGGAGCAGATTGCTACCATTATGCTGTGCTACTCCATATTATGTTTAAACAATGTAATTGTCAAGTAATAAAGATATATTGTAATTATCCAAGGAGTTTATGGTTATCTAAGAGTTCAAGATGTCTACTATAAAATCTGCTTGAGTGTCGCATCTATTAGCACTTCAACCATGATCACTAAATCGATTGCTTTCATCTTCCACAAAAACTACAACATCACATATATACAGATACTGTGTCCACATAAATCCTAAACTCACCTTTATTTTTTTAACTGTTGGTAATAAATGTCTACTTTCAATTTAAAATGTTTTAAATAACACGAATACTCATATTTTGATATTTAATTTCAGGAATCACTTTTGTAAAAAATACAAAATCTTAACTTTTTACATATTCCGTTGGTTCAGATAATTATATTTAATGAAAATCTATACATATTCTAAAAAATAGAGGACAGAAAGTTTGGTTTTCACGCAAAGAAAGATTGACGAAGATATTTAATTTTAAATTTTGAAATTTATATGAATTTTGCGGTGAAAAATTCATATAAATGGCTGAGTGGAACTAATCGGCTCATTGGTGTGTTGTGTTATGGTCAAGTTAGTGCTGAGAGAAATGCATGCCTCAAAAAGTTTCATATAGCATTGTAATACCTGACCCCATAAATGTATAATGTCTTTGTAATGTAATAGCTTTTAAAATGCCATTGAGTCAAAAATGTCCTCTTGAAATGCTACGCTTCTTAAAATATTAGTAGTATGGGAAGAGAGATCTATTTCCCAGAGAGCTTGTCAAAATTAGGCTGGCCACTATCCAATGGTGGGCTTCAACAGCTAGCTCATCAGTGCAAAAGTCGTTCTGAAAGACTTTTAATGACCTACATTCTGTTATACTCTGTTTAATAAATGGGCATTTTTAACTACATTATTTATAATCATTTAAATTTTTAGTTCAGAAATTTATTTCTTTTTGTTAATAGTTATTTACAATTAATCTCATACTTACATACTTTCATTTATATGTGTTATACTTCTGGTGCCTCATAACTTTGATGAAAATGAATGCTGTATTCTGCTTATTAGTATAAGTGCAGCATTTTCCTTATTAGTATACAGACTACATAACAAATATACAAAAAATTACAGGTTTTGCAAGTTCTTCTGTTAATGAATATAAACCATTATCTTTAAAGTTATTGAAAACTCTAAATAATATTATCTAATAGTATAGGCTTTATACATGTTTTCACATTCTGTGTTATCCATGTGTAATGGATATAAAGTGCATTGAACATAAAGCTTATGAGTTCCAAATCGTGCCAATTTATTATATAATGATGATTTGCCATGGTTTGTTATTATTATACAGTCAAAAGTCGTTAATTCGGACACCCATAATCCAGAATGATCTATAATCCGGACCTCAAAGTTGCAAACTTTCTGCGCATGCGTCGCATTTACGCATGCGCGTAAGACCTTTCGGCTGTGAATATGCATGTGCGCATGCACATAATACGTTTACGCATGTGCGTTTAATGTATAACAGACGGTATAAGCTAAGCTAAAATTATCTAATTCAGTTAATGTTGCAGATTGCGTTGTTCCTTAATCTTCGATTGGATCAGGCTTATTATTTTTTGGCAGACTGTTAGAGCAATTTTATAAAAGTAAGCATGAACTTCGATTATGTCAAATAGAATTTCCATATATATTTACTAATATGTAAAGGATCTACAAAGCGAAAGTATATTTTGAAATCCGAATATGTTATCAATTTCACGCTGCTCTGTGGTGAAGGGGGGACGTCGCGACGGGCAAATGAACTGGCAGTTGATCTGTCAGCACTATGCTAATTAATCTTCAGGACAGGATGTTTTTATTTTATTCGGCTTATAATTCCTTCACTAAATGTAGTGTTTCAATCTTGATGTACTATTATATATGATTTAAATCAATTTCCTCATCATTATAAATATCACGAATACGCATCAGTTTTCTGGTTGCAATTTTCTAATTTTGACTATGGGCGCGTTGAAAGAAATGTTTAATAAGTAAACAAAATAAATATTAAGCTTTTTCTTTTTGTAAATTTTGATACCCTTTAGATTATAATTGTTCTTTATTTCATAAATTACGGTTTCATATTTTTAATTTTGTAATTTCTGCATGCCATCTTACCAGATTTAAACTGACGATCTATAATCCAGAAAAATCGATAATCCGGAATCGCCGAAGTCCTAACGAGTCCGGATTAACGACTTTTGACTGTATTAGTAAAAAAAATTCAACATTTATTTGCGACCCTAATGTAAATATTAATCTTATAACTGTTTAGTGTTCTTTTTTATTCATTGTGTATATATATATATATATATATATATATTATTTACACACACACATGCCTTTTTAGGCTTTTGCCAGCAGTATCACCGGAAGTATTTGCACTCATGCAATTTTGAAAGGAGCTGGAGTTGGTGATGAAACTGCTTCTCCCCTTGCTGCTACTATCACATGGCTAATTAAAGGTTTCCGGTATTTTAATTTCTAACATTATTATGCTAATGTTTTACTTTATTTCACAAATGAAATATGTTATTAGTTATTTATATTCAGTTACAGAATTTTTGTTTCCGTGTTTGATTTAAATATCAGTGAATCAAGAAATTGCATTATGTATTAATATGATCATTTTTGTTTTCTAGGTAGCCTCTCCGTAAACAACATTTTGTTTTCTCCAATTTTTAGTCCAAAAGGGCAATTTGCCCAGAAGGACTATTAGTTTCATTTTGGCATTTTGCATTGATTCACTATAAATGTCAGTTCACTTTTCAAATTGTTACCACCAAATATTAGAGCCCTGTATTATATTTAAAGAAATTAAATAATAAAGAGTCTGCATTAATGTATGTATGTTTCTCGCATTGTGAAAAAATAACGGTACCTAGAGTCATCAAATTTTGAATAAAGTACATTTCCACCTGAATATGGGCATCTGGAAGCCTGAATTTGGAATTTATTTTATTATCTATTTCATATTTTGTAAAACTTTAATGAATTTTTTATTAACAAACTTAATGATTTAAAAGCGAGCAATGGCAACATTGTACGGGAGGGAAAAAAATTTTATCTTCAGCGTGCAAGACTGTGTATTGGAAATTCTAAAGATATGCTCATTTTAAAATTATTTTGCGATATTGCTATTGAACTAAATTTTATGGTTAAAGTGTGAAGAACATGATATTTAATAAATAAAGTTAATACACAAACTGTTAAAAAAGTGCCCATTTGAGTGTAATATAAAATCTGAAGGCTTTCAGATTTACATATGTATATTTTTTTCCCAGGAATTGCAGCTTGTTAAATTATATTACTCTATAACTATAAGGTATTTCTCCCACCTTCTTAGCATGCCTATGTGATGTAGTAGTCAGCATGCTTGGTACATATTTGAGACGTCCGTGGTTCGAATCCCGATGAGGGCATTGCACATTTTTCATGTCTTCCTGCTTAAATATAATCCTAATGTCTCTACATAACAAGGTGAAGTTAAAGAAAGTATTTCGATTTTGATAAACTTATTATTCTTTTCTATAATGCTTATTATAACACAATGAATGCAATAGTTATTATGAGTATTATTGAAACTAACATCCTTCCCATGTTATAGTGGATTAAACTAGACTTCATAATGAATTTTATTCTTAATGACGTATAAATTTATTACAAATTACGAAATTATAATAATATTACCATACCAAGTAATTTCACTTATTAAAATGAGGAGAGAAACACAATAGTTAAAACTTAAAATTAGGTAGAACAAGAATATTATTATCTTAAATATTTTATTTTGGCAACCTTACTTTCACTTAAATGGAAAGTAGGTTTAATGTTTGTTTTAAGTTTCTTTTCTAAACACTTTATAACAACCAATCATGATTGTGTACATGATTTGCTTTTCTAATGTGTAATGGACCTGACTCGTTTTGAAATATGGTAACTTTATTATTATTAGAATTTTGCTATTAAATCATAATATCTCTCTCTTATCAGGAATCGCAATAGCTTAGTAGCGGTAGAAATATTTAATGAAAGACAAATCTTTAGCTCAAACCAGCTATAAAATTATTTTTTAATTATTGCAAAATAAATATCCTTATTTAAATTATCAAAGACTTAATTTCTCAGGAATATTTGAGAATATATTTTAATTAAATATTTCCATTCATGGTAATTCTGGTTTTAAAATTCCTTAAACATTTCTTGGAAAAAAGTATAGAATATTTTCATTTCTTGAAGAAAATAGTTTATGTTGTTAGGCTCTCTCATAATGATAGAGATTTTCTATAAAATTTAACGTCAATTTAAGAATGAATTTTGTTTGATTTTTAAAATTCAGGTAGATATATTTCTTTTCCATCTACAACCATGTATTCTTTTTCTAGCTTAAACTAGGTGTCGTAAGAAAAGTGCATTAATCATATTGAGCAATATTTATTCATAATATATTAAATTTATTCTTCATATAATTATGGCTTGCAGAAAAATTTTTAATAACCATGTTGCTTGTAGTGACAAAAGGATTCCCATCTATGGTTTTGATGCATGGTTTCCAACCTTTTTCTTGGCTCAATACTCCCTACTTTGTAACAGTGATATACTGTATTCCCTTTGAGTGTAATTTGAGTCCTATTTATTGGAAATGCATTGAAATTCCTTGTTATGTATATATTGCACTTATCCTAAAAAGCAAACCCTAACATGCATACAGTTTTCACCAATATGTATTTAGGGTCCTTTGACATTATTTGCCACAACTTTTGTTAAAGATAAATAACTGTGGTAGCCATATAATCAAATAAATGCTTTACATTTGTTAAAAAAAAGTGTTCAGACACCCAAATTTTGTAAGCTTGTTATTGCTTGATTTATCTTTTCTACCCCTAAGACCAGCAAAATTCTTTTACAAATCCCATTAGCACCCACTTTGGCCCATTTTTAGCATCCACCAGCCAGAATTTTGTTTAAATGCAGTATTTTCAGTTATGATTGAACTATTTATATGTTCAAAAATGCAATATGCATTAAATGTTCTACAGAAAGACATGATAAATTAATTTATTCTATTGCATTTTTTTATAATTTCTTAACATTATTAAATTCTTGATATTGTGATTCCTATTTTAAAGAAAAGCTTTTAATTTAAAAGAATAAAAGAAATTTATGTAAATAAATAAATGACATGAATTTAGGTATGACTATCATAGTTATATTACTTTTTCTAGATGGAACATCAATGATTGGAAGGATATGTTTTGCTTGGCTCCAAGGGTAATTGTCTGAAATTCTTTTATGTCACAGCACAAAGTCCGAGATCCGGACTCATCAGGACTTTGGCGATTCCAGATTTGGGATTTTTCTGGATATTAGATCATCAGTTTAAACCTAGTAAAATGGCATGTAGAAATTATAAAATTAAAAAATAAGAAGTCATGATTTATGAAATAATGAAGCATTTATGATTTAAAGGGTATCAAAATTTACAAAAAAAAGGTTAATATTTATTTTTTTATTAAACTTTTCTTTAAATGTAAATTATTTAAGTTGCTCCATTTTTTTGTTCTAATAGTTTCTCTTCAATTCTGTAGACAGACATAATCTCTTATTCAGTTACAAAGTTCCACAGTTCAAGTTCTGTAATTGCTGTGTCAAGATTCCAACTAACTTGTCAATCAAATATTTTCATTTTTAATAACTTGTCTTTCACTTTCTTCACTGTCAAAAGTGGTATTTTTTGGATCTAGATCCATACTACAGATTCTGCCGTCTATCTCTTGATTGATGATTGGGGCATTGCCATCTCAATGAGAAACTTCTATTATATAATTTTCATGCATTGCCACTTCTCCACATTTCTTTATAAAATCCATTAGTTTGTTTGTCCTTTGTTTTGCAATATCTGAAAACCTTCGAATTCACGACTATCATCTTTATCATCCTTACTATGAAATATGACTGGCCATAAATTATGCCAAGCATTTTTGAAAGATTCTGGAAACATCCTCCCACGATCTGTGATGCTTCAGAGAGCAGATTTTATGCTAAAATATTAAAAAAATTCTTGAATAGTTTTGCCATTATTCAAGAAATTTAACATGGATTTTGAAAAGCTACTTTATATTTGCATTTCACTGTGCTCACTATTCCGATATTCATAGGCTGAATGATGGACGTACATTTTGGAAGAAAATATAATATGGATACATTATCTTTAAATGAAGTATGAGCTAAACAGTAGTCTACAATTAAGACAATTTTTATGTCATCATTTAAACCAACCAAATTAAAATGTTGCTGAACCTCGGGTATGAAATGATTTTCAAACCAATCATTCATTAATGCTTGTGTTATGCATGTTCTTTTATTTGCACGATATATAACGGGGGAAATCTTTACTCCTTTTAAATGCTTGAGGTTGTGTATTTTTTCTGATTAAGAAGAGTTTACACTTGTGCGTTCCTGCAGCATTTGTGCATGCTAAACTTATTAGTCTCGCTTTTGACGCTAGTTGGAGCCTTTACTGTAGAGGTTGCCATTTCCTGGTACATATTGCCAGAAAAGATCAATTTCATCAGCATTATAAATTTGTATTGGAGAATAACTTTTCACTATAAATGAGTTCATTAAATTCATCTGCAAATATTTAAGCACCTTCAGTATCAGCTGAAGCTTTTTCACCTGAAATTTTTAATTGCCTTAAACCATGGCAATTTTTAAATTTCGTTAACCAACCTGTTGAATATGTGCAATCAGTTCTTAAGTTCATTTCTTCATGAAATATTATGAATTGAGCCATTAGCATTGGACCCGTCTATGGCATAGCCTTGCTGCGACACTGTTTGAACCATTCAGTCATCAGTATGTCATGATCATCAGTTTTAGCATAGCGAATAATTTTTCTGTTATTCATTCTGCTTGGAATGTGGAAATCCACAAAAAATTCAAAGTTCCTTTTCCTGTTTTCTTATATCATATACAATTTCTTAGGTCATATTATTTCCTCACCAGCATTGACTTTCCAATGCCATACTCCTCAAGTAATCTTGAGACGGATATACTTTTATCCATTTTTTGTGGCAATTCTACTTTTTGTTTAATGGACATCGAAACAGGCTTTTACTTTGTAGATCCTGTTGCAGCTTAAGATTTAGAAATTCTTTTCAACATAATCGAAAGTTCAAACCTTAATTTTCATAAAATGTTTTTAATAATAACAGCCTGCAAAAAATAATAAGCTGGATCAAATCAGAAATTTAAGGAACAGGGCAATCAGCTATATTAACTGAAATTCCTTTTAATCAGTATAGTATAATTTTAGCCTAGCTTAACAGTGTCCACTATACATTATTGGCTACATATCAGATTGTCGATGAAAGACAAGTTGTTCCGCTAAATTTTGTGTTGCTTCTATCACATACTTAGACAATTAGTCTCAATTGTATTATTTTAGTTATTTAGTCCACTAACATCTGTTTCTTGTACATGCTTAAGGCTTATATGACTCCTGAATAAATAAATTCCCACATTTAGTTAAGGCTTATCGAGGGCCGGCAGTAGATATCTTACCGCCTGATGCAATCTCAGCGGTCCTAAATTCTGCTACCAAACACCTCTCTAAGTTCTAAATTTTAGGTCATAGTGCATTTCCTAAATTTTAAAAAATTTGTCATGCCTTAATTTTGTTGCTTCTCTGAATTCCAAAAATTTTGTCTTTCTAAATTCTGTTGCCTTGTGCAGCTATATGAGCTCTGCCGCCGATTCTGGGTATATGTGAATAACAAATCAGTTATTCTTAATTCAAATAACACTAAATGTAATCTTTTGGTCTCTGAGTATCATTAACAAAATCTATTTTTAACATACGGAAAGAAATTTTTCTAAGTTAACAGAAGTTATTTCATAAGTTATGCTTGGTGATGACATTATGCTTGGCGATTTATGTTGGTGCCTTTGAGGTTCAGATTTTAGATCATTCCAGATATTGGACTTCTGAATCTAGGATTTTGTACTGTATTATATATTTTTGAAAGAGCACATAATAACATTTAAATTTATTAGTTAATCTTTATTCTGAACTACTATTTTTACAGTAAATATTTAGAACTTTTTGTATATCTAATGTCACAGAATGAAAAGATTTTTAATACTTTTGAATATTATAATACTTACAAAGTATGCATCCCTAAATTATTAATGCTTTTTATATTGTTGTATGCTTACAGTTTCATAATAGATTGAATGCACACAGAATTGATGATAGCTTGATAAAATTCATTTTACCAAAAAGAACAGTTCACATTTCTGGAACTTTCCACAAAAATACTCATACAACTATTAATTTAGGAATCAAAAAACAAAAACCATCGTTATATTTTCAAATTTTCACAGGACTAGTTTCGATGGTTTTATCGAACCATCATCCTCAGCTCAAAAGTCCAAATGAACGAGATAAGATATATGGGCTTTCATTCATTTCATTTGGGCTTTTGCAGCTGAGGATGATGGTTCAGTAAAACCATCGAAACTAGTCGTGAAAATATAATGCTGATTTTGTTGTTTGACTCCTAAATTAATATTAGTTCGGTGTGTTATTGTATGTTACTCATACAACTCTTCACAGTATCACAGAGTACATTCAACAATTACACTTCAAACTACTAAGAACATTAAGCACAACACAATGCAAAGCGCATCTAAGAAGGGAAGTTCCCACAGAGATATCTCAATATTCCAAACTCACGCTGAACTAAACAACAACTAACTAATTGAAAACTGATGCTCTTCGCAGTTTATGTAGTTTTCTTCCAGCCACCGAGAGATTTCTAGTACCTTCCGCTTCTTCAAATTACTGGAAGGCATATGAGGGCCATATGTGGTTACAGCTACATATAGCATCAATTACTGTTATACAGGAACCAGACCAAAATGTCATCTTGCCAATTTATCAAGATAACCATTTTCCCTAATGATAAATATACTTGCCCCTGTATTCTTACTTTTCTGGCAAATCTTCCCCTTTTTAGATTTTTCATGTTACATTATATATATATATATATATATATATATATATATATAAAGCTACACTTTCACATATCAGTAAAATTATTTACAAACGAAAAAATTCATAACAATAATGATGCACATTCATGCATCAATATTAATGTCATGCATTCATGCATCAGTATTAATCTTGTAATCATTATGTATTCATCAGTAGTCTTAAAATTTGTACAGTACAAAGTCCGACATCCGGACATTCATTATCCGGCTCAAAGCCACAAACATTTTTTTTATTATTATTATTATTAATGCTTTACACATGCGCATTTGATTTTTTCTTCCATGATAAAACGTGCAGATTTTCACTTATTAATTTTACGTAGGCACTAAATAAAATACCTTGTTATGGAAAAACAATCATGTAAGCATAAATTTGTGAGATTAATAATTTGTCTCCGTAGCTGAGTATCTACTTGGCATACATCTCAAACTGAAACATTCACCTATTTTATACCCCTGACCCCAACCTGGCGAGTCATTATTTATTATATTTTGCTTTTATCACTGCATCTTTATCAATATATGGCAGCTTCAGTAATAACTCATGCTGTGATGTCTAAACTTTTTTTATATTAGTAATTGAATAAAAAGAGTATGGCAACCTTTTATGCTAACATTATGCTTGGCGATGATTATAGATTTTTAAATGCCCTAGGAAATGTTGACGAGGAAAAATTCAACAAAAATTTTTTTTCATGTGCTAAAAATAGATTTTGTTGATGAGACTCATAGGCCAAAAGATTACATTTAGTACTATTTTACTTAAGAATAACTGATATGTTATTCACCATAAACCCAGAAGCTGCGGCAGAAAACGTCGGCACTGGACGGCAGAATTTTTAGGGAAGACGAAATTTTTGGAATTTGGGGAAGCACCTAGCGGTAAAATTAAGAGATGAGAAAGTTTTATGATTTAAGGAAAGTACTGGGATTCAAAGTTTAGGCACAGTGAAAATTTAGAATGTAGGAAAGTGCTTTGTAGCAGAATTTAGGACCCATAGAGACTGCACTAGGCGGTATCGAGCGCCGGCCCTAGATAAAGCCTTAAGTATATGTGGAAGTTTATTAATTCAGGACTCTGATTAGTTTGAAGCTTGTGCAAGAAATAAACATAGGTACAGTAAATAACTAAACTAATACAATTCAGGCTAAATTCAGTATGCAATAGGAGCAAGACAAAATTTAGCGAAATAACTTGGCTTTCGTCACCAATCTTGTGATACATGTATAACGGATGCTATTAAGCTAGGCAAAATTATCTATACTGATTCTAAGGCATTTCAATTAATGTAGCAGACAGCACTGCTCCCTGATCTTCTAATTTGATCCAGCTTATTATTTTTCACAGAATGTTATTATTACAGCAATTTTATAAAAACTAAGCTTCAACTTTTGATTATGTCGAAAAGAATTTCCAATTCTGGAGTTGCCAAAGGATCTACAAAGTGAAACCATGTTTTGATGTCCATTAAACAAAAAGTAGAATAGCTGCAAAAAATGGATAAAGGCATATCCGTCTCAAAATTATGCGAAGAGTATGGCATTAGAAAGTCCACTGTATATGACACAGAAAAAAAAAGAAAAAGGAACTTTTTGAATTTTTTGTGGAAGCATCTTAAACAACTTACATTGAAAGAAATGTTTAATAAAGTAAACAAATAAATATTATGCTTCTTTTTTTTTTTTTTTTTTTTTTTTTTTTTGTAAATTTTTATACCCTTTAGATCATAATTGTTCTTTATTTCATAAATTACGATTTCATATTTTTAATTGTATAATTTCTGCATGCCACCTTACCAGATTTAAATTGATGATCTATTATCCGGAAAAATCCCAAAACCGGAATCGTCGAACTCCTGACCAGTCCGGATTTTGGACTTTGTACTGTATATATTTATGATTAATAATATGGCATTAACTGTAATGTGATTTTAAATGCTTTTTTTCCTGCATGTATTTGGCTAAAAATTTATGCATATTGCAATTTATGCAATTGCATTTATGTAATTTATTTCATTTTTAATTGCATGTTAAATATGTTATTTCATTTTTCTTTTTAGCACTAAGCTTGACAGTGATTGCAAAAAGTGGAGGTATGAATTACCTATTGTTAATGATGTATGTTTTATATTCATGAAATAATATGACTTAATAATCTAGTAATATGCTCATAACTTTTTTCAGATTATTTGCAGATGTTTTAAATGACATAGCAATGTTTTTGGACTTGGTATCAGCCTATTTTCAAAATCATTTTACACTTATAGTCTGCATATCAGGATTATGCAAGGTAACATTTTTTCCCCTCCTGTAGTGTTTTAAATTTATAAATGAGTAGTCAGCCCAGCTACATTTATAATACGTCTTTTTATCATTATTGACTATCATTAAATTATCATTATTGATAGTTTTACTACTTCTAGTGCCACTAAAAGCAAAATTCTAAAAATAATTATGTTAATTGTGGCTTAAAATTTAATAAAGACTTTAAGGGCTTTTGATGTATCCAGTAGGGTATGTCAAAATATTTGAGAACTGCATAGTAACCCATGACTGGAAGCATCATAGGTGACTGGTAGAGGTATAAGAAATGAAGGATTACAAGACAGAGATTACTATCTCACCCAGTCCACTGTTAATCAAACAACATGCTCAGATGTCTTCAAACGCATCTTCCATAATGGGGAGGTTCTTCATTATGTTGAAACCACATGTTGCATCTCAAATTTTGTGGCACATGGTGAAATAAGACAGATAGAACATGTTCCAAAATGATGAGATAATTTGATGATGTCAAAGATAATGGCAACAGGTAAGGCCTGACAAAGCAGTCCACTGACCAAGCCAGCCCAGACATTGTAAACAGCCCTCGTGAATAGCACCACCTAGCGGCATACAGTGACATTTGTGGTCATAGGTTGTTATGCAATTTTCAATCCTTTTTACCTGCCCTTAAAGTTTGTACCAATATTTATAGGATTGTAGTGGTTGCTACGTCATAAACATTATTTTTTCTTGCTTATATTTAAGAGAAAACAATTTATTATTCACTTTTTAAAGACATTCTTTTTTAAACAACATTGTCTTATGACTATTTTCGTTTCTATTGTTGCCACTCATAGTCTACATAAAGTTATACAAAAGAAAAGATTATATATGATTTGTAGAGGTTACAGGACGTACTGTATAAGCTGTGAAGTCTCATAAGATATTTAAAACTTCTTTAGATGTATTTTTTTGTTGTAGACATATATGTTTCAACATGGGTGTTTTTAAATTGGTATCATAGAAAAACTATGATAAAAATGCCTAGGATATTCATGTAGTTAAAAGAAATAAAATTAAGATCGTTTCTGTGCACCACTTTGTTTAGAAGATGTACAACTTCAAATTCTTATGAGATCACTTCTGGCCAGGTGATTGAAGGGACATGGGAATGTAGTAGAAGGATTTCAATGTCTTATAGTGTCATTAAGCTATTTTGCAGCCCAAGACATGAAAAATGAGCAGTGCCCTTGCCGAGACTCAAAACTGAACCTCTCAAATACATACCAAGTGTACTAACCGTTACACCACAAAGGCATGCAGAAAGGAGTGAGAAAATGCTTTATATCCTCTCCCATTTAAAGGGTGACTGGAGATTAGGGGACCTAGTTGCCAAATCCTGGTGATGAAAAATCATCATCCACCACCTTTTTTAGTTCGGGTGCCACTGTAGAGTCATTAGGTTTTTTTAATGCTGGAAACATGAAAATTTAGCAATGTCCTCACCAGGATTCAAACCTGGACCTTTCGAATGTACGCTGAGTGTGCCAACCATTACACCACAAAGGCATGCAGAAAGGAGGGAGAAAATACCTTATAATGTATAGATATTGACTTGAATATATGAGTGAAACTGCACAATATATGGAATAAATGGAAACAGACAAGCAAGAATAAAGAGCCTCTAGGAAACAGTTCTTCCTTATCAGTAATTGCAGCTGAGCTCCAAAAGCAGTGCCAGATGATGACCAAGCAGAAAAACTCCTTCAAGTGTAAAGCAAGATGCCTACATATGTTCCAACCAATTACCAGTATCTTCTTTATTAGTCATATTGAATGATGCAATACATAACATGTTATTATGAAACATATTATTTTACATATGAATAATTTAAATGACAGCTACATACTTACAGGTGTTCTGTTATGTATTCAACATGATATACCTCAAAGTAAATACTGGAACTGCTGATTCTTAATATCAGTGCAAGCATCTATGTGTCTGTCTGATTCGTTCAGAGATGGGTAGCATGATTGAAATGTTGTCAAAGGCTAAATGAATGTGTGTATTATACTCCTCTGTAGTATTCAAGAATTTCTGTTGCACAAATGAGTGAAACTGCACAATATATGAAGTTATATGTTGCTTGTTTTGTGGTTATGTGTTTTATATAACCACAAAACAAGCAACCAATTTTTTTCATATCTGAGTACCTACAGCCAAAGATAGAATTTCCATCCATCTAGCCAGAAATGTCATATAGGGACTCTGAAGTTAAATGCCTTCTAAATGAAATGGTGTGCTGAGAGCATATGAACAGCATTTTGTTTCTTCTATACACCTGAATATGCCATGTAACATTGTTGCACTTTTTTTAACCATCCTGTATACACACATATGCATAATTATGATACTGCATTGTCACTAGTTTAATGATCAGAATGGGTAGCTTGATCAAAGGAAAAATTAGTATTATAATTATTAGGAAAGGCATTATTAGTATTGGAAAAGAATTAATATTTTATGTAGACAATTTATTTTATGACATTTGGAAATAAATAAAAAGCAAACAGATTTCATACATAAATATGCAGATTTCTATTAATATACTTGAAACTTAATTTTGTTGAACTGTGTTCTTAACTGTTATTAGTATGCATAATTAGCATTTTATTTTATTTTATAATACCCTCTAAAGAGAAAAATCATTATTTGAGTGTAACATTTTTATTAGATTTTTTTAGGTTAGATTTATCTGGATTCTGTTCCTTATGTAGGTATCTTCATTTAATGCCGAATTTGTAGTGGAATTTCATATTATTTGGAAAGTAAAACTGAAATATTATTCAAAATTAAGAAAGTTAATAATGCAAATATGTTTTTTATGGAACTTAGTTCATTTTTGTGGAAGAAATTTAAAGTATTTCAAAAACTACTTTTATTCTGAATCTCTCATCACTAAGACACTTTATTTCAAAGGATGAAAGTATGATTTTCAAAACTTGAATTTCCTTATCATTAAAACAGAAATTCCTCCTTGAACATTTGATATGCTTCTCATTTCTTTTGAAAACTTGAATTATTCTTTTTAATAGTTGTTTACTGCATCTGTTTTCACCATACTTTTTTAAGTTTCTCATTTATTCTTTTCTTTCACGTGTAAAGTCTTTGGTTGGAGTAGCTGGTGGATCAACGAGAGCAGCATTGACACAACATCAAGCAAGAAAAAATAATATGGCTGATGTGTCTGCTAAAGATGGAAGTCAGGAAACTTTAGTAAACCTTCTAGCTTTGATATGCAGTTTATTTATTGTACCTATAGTTGCAGAGAGTTTTCTGTAAGTTCTATTTCCAGGTTATGTTTTCTTTGTTTAGGAATATAATGTGTTTAATAAAAGTAATTCTTTATTAAAACATAGTTTTAAGAAGCTTTTAAATTATTTAGATTAGTATGCACAACATGCAGATTGGCCAAAAATATATAGCTGATAAGTATTTATAGAAAAGCAATATATAGGGTTATGATTCATATTTTACTTATCAAGTCATGTTTTAGAAGTAATAGTTATTTGTTTCTTAAAAGTAAACAAATATGATGTCATTACTCTCTCCAAGTAAGAAATTTTTGTCTTGCAATATATAAGACAAAATTTCTTATACCTAGATTAAATGATACAATGAACATGGTGCAACTCAGTTTTTTCAAAACAAAGCTATGTGAATTGCTGCTAAAAATATCTGGTTGTAATAGAAGTCCAAAAAACATTCTTAAGTTAGAAAAAAAAATGAAAGCAGTACCTATAGTATGGGTAGTAATCATCACCCCAATCTATGATTTTCTGCCAATGTTTTAGTAGTTTTTCAAGGCCTTCGGCCTAGAAACTTGATGGCTGCGACTCCAAAATCAGGTCAACCTCATTTCAGACATCCTATGCAGAATGGAATATAACACGGGAAGAAACACTGCAGGTGTGAAAAAAACGTAGAAGTCTGAAGGAGCAATGTCAGGGCATTTCTGTACAACATATAGAATTTTACAGATCACAAAATGTGAATGACAAAAGATTTTCATCAACCATTACTAGCATAACCTTTAGGTTTCATTATGCCTTATTATTTTGTTCTTTAGCTCTCTTATAACAAAATTATGCTTAAAAAGGAAAAATTACTAATGATACGACAAGTATAATATTATACAGTATGTAAAATAAAATAACCCAACTTAACTGTTTTAAAATTTCTTCTGTCATCATATCGTAAAACTGTTCATCTTGAAAATCCTTGCTTGAATATTGTTATATAATTTTTACAGTCTTCAAATTGTAATTTTTTTTATATTTGTCATATTCAATATAAAATATAAAAAATTATTTCACTTATTCACCAAATTATGTTATTTCTTTTTCATTTTCAATTTTTTTCATCATTCTCCAATTTAATATCCAGTGTGACGCTAAGAGAAATGATACAGAATGCATTAATTATATAGTTCTTAATATTACAAAATAAAAAATCAAATTTTTAAATAATATTTAATCCTCAATTTACCAATTATTTCTCAAACCCATTTAATACTTTAAACCCATTTAATTATTTATTTAATACTTATTTTGTTTCCATTTTTTACAGATTAACTTGGATACTGTATATTAGTATGACTATCGTTCATTTAACTGCAAACTATTTTGCAGTAAAATCTGTAGTTATGGAAATATTTAACATTTCAAGATTTAAAATATATACTAGACATTATTTAAGTGAAGGATCTGCTTCCCAGGACTTTCTCTCAGTAGCTGAAGTGAATCAGAAAGAAAGTTTATGTCCTTCTTTTAGGCCAAAAAGAGTAACTGTGATATTAGGCTCATCATTTAAAGATGCAATTCAAAGGAAAAGGTAATTTTAATACATATTTGTTTAAAGTTTTTAGCTTTTTAACTTTATCATTTATGATTTTTAAACTTCACTTTTTATGTCTTTCATTTATAGGTGGAAAGATATCAAAGAACTTTTAGAGATCTATAAGACCACTGACTACATACTTTGTGTCTCCAAAACAAGTATTTCTAAATGTTAGTTACTGAAGTATTATCAGAATGCTATAATTTATATTTTTATGCAAAATTTAAAGTTATTGATTACTTTAAATTCGAAGCAGATATTAAAAATAATTACTAGATTATATAAAAATTTAAGGAAGGTAACAAATATGTCCATATTGTTGAGTTATATTGTTGTCATATGTATATGTCATATTGTTGTCATATGTATGTACTGTATTTTTAATCGTTGAAGGATGATGTGATGAGTTGCAGAACTGTGCTTCAAATAGAGGACTGCATTTCAGAAAGTTTTTTTTTTTTTTTTTTTTTTAAATACTCGTATATCATGAAAGGTGAAGGGAATAATATAACTAAATCGTAAATGTAGACATCTGTTATTGACGTTTAGACAAACTTGAGAACTGACAGCTAATAACATTTAAAAACACTTATCAATGGCAGAAATATTTTCTTTCATTTTGATAATGCCAGACCTTATGCTTAGAGACATTAGTGATTTTTTTTTCTGGAAGGAGGAAAGATGAAAAATGAGCGAACGCCTTTCCCGGGAATCAAACCACGGATCTCTGGAATATGCGCCCAGCGTGCAGACCACCAACACTACAAAGGCATGTCAAAAAGGCAGGAGAAGTACCTTATATACTCCCCCTTTTAAAGGGCGACTGGGGTTTTGGAGGGGAACCAATCACCAAATCCTGGGTAGGGAGAATCATCATCCACCACCCTTTTAGTTAGGGAGCCATTGTAGAGACATTAAGAATTTTTTGGGGGAAGCAGGAATGATGAAAAATGAGCAAACGCTTTCACCGGGAATTGAACCACGGACCACTGGAATACACGCCCAGCGTGCAGACCACCACACTATGAAGGCATGACAAGAAGGCAGGAGACAGGGTTGCCACGCTACCTGGAAAACCGGGAGAACCGTGAAAAGTCAGGGAATTCGAAAATTGACCAAAATATTCAGGGAAAAGTCAGGGAATTTAAGTAAATCTGGAAAAGTCAGGGAAGTTCATACAACGATGCCGCCAAAAAAAGCGATTTTTGCGCCGACGTCGGAAGAGATAACTTTTTTGGCGAATTACGTATCACGTGAGTGTCATTCGGGTAGCTGGCATAGAGCCAATTTTCGCAGCTCCAATTTGATTGTCTTTTAGAAAGGCAAATCAACTTTCCCGCAACTTTTGGTTTCCAGTATTCTCAAGAATCGCATGTGCAGTGCATGAACTAAAGAAAGTACCTGTTCTTGTATAAAACAAAATGGGTTTAATCCTAGTATACGGTACCATGGAGGTTAGAATCAAAGAATATGTATTGTAAAGAAGGAAAACCTCTCTGCAACAGACGTGGCTCCGTTCCATCATAGAGGGAAACAGCTGTGCATGTCTGATATATTCGTCGAAGTTCGAAGGTCACGTTATCAAGAGTTCATAAAATGAATATCGTTTAAAATTTCTTGAACGACTTGCGCTAAAAAGACGTGCCACGCACGTCGAGATGCTTTTGTCTCAAACCATGAGCGAGACGTGAACATCACGTCGATAAGCATTTATCGCAAAAATGAAAATAACGTGGTGCACACGTCACCTAACAACGAGATTGTTTATTTCTCGAGTTACAGCTCTGGATTGCACTCGCAGATGCGGAGCGGCGTAAATGAGACACTTTACCGCTTGTTATATTGTAGCGCACGGCACCGCAACCGTGAAGTTTAGTCTTAGCGCAAGTGGTTAAACTCTAAAGGAAAAGAAAATATTTTTTGGCGCAAGTAAATTAATTCATGGATTAGTTATTTTCAGGGGAAAAAAAAACTACGAAAATCCGTTTTTAAAATTATTGCGTGGATTTTTCGCAATAATTTTAAAAACAGATTTTCGTAGTTTTCTTTTTGTCAAAGAGAGTTTCTTCTTAACACGTGTTCCTCAATTTCCTGTACACATCGCGAGAGAGAGAAATTCTGGCCGCCAGGTTCCGTCGCCAAATCCCTTGGCAAATTTTCCCTCCGCATTCTTTCTAGCAGTGTAATTTACGTATGGTAATAGCATTACGCCTATGGAACCTTTCTGTCTTTACATAGACGTTCTTTGTTTAGAATAACCTCCATGGGATTGGCGACATCATGGGATTTGCGGGACGTTATGATGAGCAGTAAACAGGGTCATTTTGGTGTTGGCGACAATTTTCAAAATCGTGCCAAAGCCTTTACTGTATACAAGGAATTTTACCGCAAAATCTTTTAAACCTTTTTTTTTTTCTTTTTAATAAATACCTTATTTGCCATTTTGCAGTAAAATAGAAAAATAGTAATCAGTCATCTAGGCTAGCCATGTAAATATAACTATATTCGCTAAAATATCGTTGAAATTAATTCTAATTCAATTTTTAAGTAATTATTTTTATGTTATTCGTATAATTTAATGTTGCTTCTTCCCTCTAAATTTATTTATTATTAGTAAATAATATTTCCAAATTTCAGGAAATTTTCTCTGGCATAATCCTAAAATTAATTATAGCAGTATGATGACATACCACCACGAAATTTAATGCACATATTTTTTCCTTATGTATGCTGCAAAATAAATATAAAATACCTCAATTTATTAAAATAGATTTCTTTCTTTCGTTTAGCTGCAGAATGTCTGCAAAAAAAAGCCTTATTAATTCCAGATTGGGAAGATTCTAATCTCAATCTTCAATGGAGAAAACAAACAACTATTATAATTATATTTGTGCTTTCAAGTGTTAAGGTGCTTTTAAGAACATACCTCACGCAAATTAAATTTACCTAAAATCTAACCTAACTATTTAGCATTGCGTTGTGATTTATAAGGACCGGATTAGCGTCGTGTTGTTGAACTGGTGATGATCATGAGTAATAATTAAATAAAAGATACATTTGTTATCCAATGTATATATCTTAAATTTTATTAAGTTTCTTAAGTGGAAAACTAAACAAAATTATCAAACAAAGTATACCAAGAATAATTAAGAATAAATGTCCTCTGGGATTTATTGAATAATTAAGTGAATTTGCTACACAATACAAGTAATACCATAATTAATTTACCTCTTAGCACAGCCAACGTACATTACGCGGATGGACTGGAATTTTCTTGAAACACACCTGGAAAACCTGGAAAAGTCAGGGAATTTCATTCTCCTGTTTGAGTGGCAACCCTGAGGAGAAAAACCTTATAATGCTATTTTAGTTACTCAGAAAAAATTGCTGGACTAGGTTGGAGAGTATTACTACATAGGATATTCTCTTAGCTTTGTCCTGATGAAGTACTATCTCATGCAAGCATTACAGGACACTTTCTCTCCCCGAGCGTTTCATAGTAATATAAGGATGCAAAAACAGCATTAAAAGATATTTTTTACTCTAAAATTCAGGTATTTTATCAGTGTATGCTAAACTATTGCCATACAGATGATAAAAAATTAAACTCAGAACGCTGACAATTATAGAATTTTAGATATTTTAATTTTGTGTTATCTGCCTTTCTTTTCAACTAAAAAACTAATAAAGCATTTGTACATACCTAGTAGAAAGTTTGAAATAGAAATTAGGATATTTATTATGCATATAATCTATTAAAAGATAACTTTATTGTTAAAAATAATTTGCTCATGAGCAGTTTCCACTTTTTTTTAAATGAAAACCTATTCATAGATTCTACCTTCCCCCTAAGAAAGGACAGTCAGAAATAGCTCCACTCTAGTTACTTCAGATAAATAGGTTCTGTTTTATTTTTAAATCTATGCATAGTTAGATGTATGCCTATAATCTATCACTGTTAAAATATTACAATTTTTTTAAATAATTTTTCTATATCTCCTGAAATGCACTTATTTTAAGCAAGTCATACTTACTATTATATTTTAACTGTGTTCTAAAAAATAGTTCCCTCTTATCCTCCAAAGCATGTTATTGATTACAATTACTAAGAAACTTTGTTAGTTCAACATTTGTAGTATTCAGTTAGTGTGAGGAATTGATACTGATTAATGGGCATTGATGTATTAATGAGTTATTAATACCATATAATGTGATTTTGTTTGAAATTTTTTATCAGTAATCTTCCAGCAATAAATTTGTTTTAAATTTCAGAATATCATTAACACAGATTGGGGAAAGGGAGTAACTGCTTTATTAAAATACTTTGAAAATAACTCTCAAAAACATTTTTTGGTTTCCATTGTATAGTTTGTCTAGTCTGTCTAATGTATTATGATCTGTTATATCTTTAAGCTCATTTAATTGATATTGAATAAAAATGATAGAAGCTGAAAACTGTGTGAAACTTTTTTTATGATTTTTTTTAAATACTTTATAAGAATTTATATCATGTTCAAAATAACTAGCTGAAGAAATTAAGCAATTTACTAAACTTGATATATAGCATATTGCTTAAATGTAATAATGGAAATTGGAATACCATAATGCAGCACTTTTTATATCATATTCAGCATCAAGGGGGGATTACCTTTGACAAAGCAAAAAATGCCTTTTGGAAGCAACTTCCTGGAATGTTGTTCAGTCTTTGTCATGAAATGTTCAAGAGCGAATATTCAACTCAATATGTACACTGCTCAACATTGAAAATGCAACACCAAGAAGGAGTGGTCAGAAAGTGATGAAATTTGGAAAAAAGACAGAGACAGCAAGCAGCAATAAGTGATCTGTATTTCAAAATGATAGTCAGAATACTAGAGAACGGCGTCGACTCAGTAGGATGTAGGACCACCGCGGGCAGCGATGCACGAAGAAACACGTCAATAAGAGTGTAGATGGTGTCCTGAGGGATGGCTCTCCATTTCCTTTCAACCATTTGCCGCAGTTAGTCTTCTGAACGAGGCAGGGGCAGAGTCTGCAAACGGCATCCAATCACATCCCACACGTGTTCGATTGGTGACAGGTCAGGAGAGTACAGTGGCCAGGGAAGCAACTTCATACCTTGCAGAGCATATTGGCAGATGCGAGCACTGCGTGGTCGGGCGTTATCCTGCTGAAAAATTTCATTAAGCAGCCCCTGAAGTAAGGGATTGCCACCGACCGCAGTACAATT